ATTGTTTTGATTTTAAATTTTAAAAGGATTTATTTATTTATTTGTTTAAATATAAAAATTAAGATAAATAAATATATATTTTACCTTTAAAAAAAGTCATTCAAAAATGGATTGTAAAAGTCTATCAGATTTAATTTGTTCCTTATCAGGATGTACAAATCTATCAACTTTAAGTCTTAATCTTTGGTAAAATAGATTAATGTTTATTATCTATCTTCACTCATATTTATTTGCGTATTAATTGTTAAAAGTTCTTCTGAAATTGATAATCTAAAATTATCTGATTTAGGTGCTGCTTTAAAAAAAATATCTAATATTTCAACTTTGGATTTAGAGCTAAGGTATGTTTATGTGATTTTATTTCTTTGAAAATTTAAATCAATAGTTAAGCTTTAGAATGAATAATTAATTAATAGAATGGTATAATAAATTCTATTTTTATTTATTAGCAAACTAACTAACTCATTTTAATATTCTTATTAATTCACTAATTTCAATTTAATTTATTAATTCTCAACATATTTTGTTGAATAAATAATCAAGTTAATTAATTACTTATATTAAAAGTTAAAATTAGATTAACGATTATTTAGAATTAAGCTCTGTTTTTTAAGGTTGCTCCAATCTTTCATTTATCAAACTGAATGTGTAAAAATTAATTTATTTATTTTTTTTGTCAAAGCTTACTAATAAATTAAAAATAATGAGATTAAAAAGCATGTAACGATGCATAGTAATTTTAATGTACTTACTTACTAACTATAAATTAAATTTATTTATTTTAAATATATTTTAAATCCTTAAAATTTTAATAATTTTTAAAAATAAAATATTAATTTAATACAGTGAAAATGAATATTCGGATATCTTTAAATAATCGAAATTTGTCAAAAATATTCTGAAAATGAAAAGATTAGTCAATAAAGTTTTTGGTAAAACAATAGAAGATTATGAGGAATATTTTGAAAAAGAAAATAGCCAAGAATGAATGAATGAATGAATGAATGAATGAATGAATGTTTGGATGCTGAAAATGAAAACAATAGCCAGTCAATAAAGTGTTTGATACATTATTTTGAATGAATTAAAAAATAAAAATAAATATTCTATATTGATTGTATAATTACTTAAAAGAATTGTTTTTTATTTAAATCATAAACTAAATTTTCATTATTAAGGTCTCTTTCGAAAAATTCTTTTTTAATTAGTTTTAATCTAAAAATCATTTTTTAAACAAAAATCAGCCACATTCATTTATCTTAAAAATTAAACCAATTTTAAATAAAATAAAAATATTAAATTGTAAAATTTAAAAGGACATTTTTAACTCTTTTTTTTAAGGGTGCAATCAGGAAAATATATATTTATATGTTATCAATTAATTATTTAATATCCTTAAAATATTTTAATCTAGTTATCTAGCATATTAAATTATTATTCTTGGTTTAATTAATATAAATTTAATTTCTCAATAGTTGTAGTTTATTTTTAAATAAAAGTAATAATGTTCATAGCAAATGAGCACCCACAATAAAAATTGACTCTTTAGTTTTAAAATCTTAATAGTCTATAAATTTAGAATCGTTAAAATATGTGATGCAATAAGTATATTCTGCCTAAATAAATATTAAGTATGTTACAATTACTTAGAATCCACCAGTATTTATTTGCACCTCTAATTTACATATTCATTGTTATAAATACTTAAAAATCCAATTTCTCTAAGCGATATAATATTTTAGAATTCAGCTGGTTCTTACATGATGTCAAATTCAAATATTTATCTAAAAAAAAGCACAGTTTAAAGATTTATTTAATAAAAAATATTTTTTTTAAATGTTATTTAAATTAAATTTAAAGAATAAATAGAATAATAATGTTTTACTTTTAAGCTTATTCTTTTAATATATCTATTAATAATCATTTTAATAAAATAAGTCAAAACAATTTGTCATGATTAATTTTTAAAACTGTTTTTGGATTATTGCTAGCTAGCTAGCAAGTAAATAAATAAATAAAAATTCAAAATTTGGAAGCAAAAAATTTTTAAAAAAGCTAAAATTAAAAAATTTAATGTTTTTAATTGATATAAAATTAATTATATTTTAAATCAAAATCTAATTATTATTAAATTATTAAAAAATAAAGGAATTTATTTAGCTTTTTTAGTTTTCAAATAAATAAGAATAAAATAAATAAAAAATGATAACTGTTTAATGCTTCCTTTTTTTATTGATTTCAAACAATTAAATAAATCTTTGTTTTGAATAGAGATTTTAAGTTTTTTAAAACTAATATAAATAAATTATCTCTTTCTCAGTTTTTAAAATTGTTATAAATCTTATTAAAATAACTTAAAGAAAGGTCAAAAGTTAGCAAATTAATTTGAAAGGATTGAGCTTAAGAATCTTTCAAAATAGCTTAAAAAATATTTAATTTCCTAAAAATTATCCTTTTCTATAAAATATTTTACAATATTAAGAAGAAATATATGTGTTCAAATCTTTTTTTGCCTTTTGTATTCTAAGGATAAAACTATTAAGGATACTGATTGAATCGTATTTTTGTAATAGGTTTTAAGTTTTGAAATAAATTAAAAAACAAATAGAATTAAATATTTATTTTTTGACTTTAACATTTAAAAATAATAAATAAATAAATATTTGATGTAAAAGATAGATTGAAGTATTTTGAAAATGTTTGCATAAATAAATTGAATAAAAAAGATATCAATAGTTTTAAGTTTTTTATAAGAAGATTCCAGATATATATATATACACATATATTTAATAAAAGGATGGATAAGACTAATTATTTTGGCAAATGCACTTAGCATAAGTCACATGTTTTAAATATGCTTTAGCTGTCAAGCAAATGTGAAAGTGCTCAAATTTGTTTAATGTGTGTTAATTAATACAAAATTGAAGAATCTGAATTGATCTCAATTGAAGAAGTAATCAGTTCTTCTACTCAAACCATATTCAAAAACTTCCCTCCATTGAAAGATTAAGTCATGCAGGAAAAGCTAAATAAAGTTTCAGAAGAAATTATGGATTTAGAAAGCGCTTAAGAAAATATAAAGATAAATTTATCTTAATTTAGGTAAAGAGTTAACTTAATGCTTTCTTTGATAGAGGAAAAGACTTATACTTAGCTCAATCATTTATAAGATCTAAAAAATAATCTTGTAGATGTTTACAACAAAATATCTTCTAAAAATGAACTAAAAAATTTACTTATAAATTCTAATGAGGAAAACAGCAAATTGATTAATCTACTCATTGAATAAAAGAAAATCGATGCAGATATAAATAAAGTGGAAATTAGAAAACAACTATTAGATTTCGAAGAAGCGTTTAAGTAAATAGATACAGAAACTCCTTAGAGGATGTAAAATACAATATATTCTTTGATGGAGTAATTCAATTATTTTTCTGTTTAAAATCTATAAAAAAATATGCAGTTGTAATCATAAATAAATGAAAACAATACTTCTCATGTAAATCAATATAAACCTCATCATTTGATCATTTTAGAATTGATATCAAATAGAACCAATTATTGTTCTGAACAATATTTGACTTTTATTAGCGACTAATTGAACAAAAACTAAAACTTATTCAATAACCTCATGGTTTTTGAAAATGAAACGCAAGTATTCAATAAAGCAAAGAGAGATTCGTTTGCCTTGTTAAATGATAGCTAATTGGAAAATATCAGAAGACTTTCTGAAGACATTCTTGCTATAGACAAAAAATATGGTAATTTGATGTGTGAGAGTTAAAATGATCACATTGAAGAAACAATTTAACCGAAATCATATGAAATTTAAAAAATTCTTAGTTAACAGTATCAATATAAACACTTAAAAAATAGCTTCTCTAAATTATTGAGAACTTATCCTATATTTGAGATAGTTGAAATACCAAAATAGAAGTCGATACTGCAATAAATAGAAATAATTAAAGCGTTACAAGAGCACTCATAGAAAGTAGAAGTAGAGAGAATTTAATAAAATTAAATAAGCATAACTGCAACCACTTATAAATATGCCTAAACCTACTTGAATTTTGTTCTTAATCCACAAATTAAGTATGTAATTAGGATTAATATTTAATCATTTATAAACTCCTATGAAAATTTCATCTTATTTGGGTTGGTAAGTGAATAAGACAAGGACATTAAACTGCTTCACAACGACATGTTAAGTTATTGCGAGAGAGGAAACGAATTTGGTATGAACAAAATTATAAAAGGAGGACCACTCCACTTGAATAGTAAGCTTCATAGAAATAGGACTTTCGAAGTTAGAATTCACTTAGCTGAAAAAATATTCAAGATAGCAGATTATCCTAAATACGAGAGGGCTTGTGAGATAAATGATAAATCTAGACTTATTCCTGATCTACCTTACAGATTTGCAACAGAATTGTGTTATAAAGACGATAAAATAATAATTTAAGATATGCTAGAAGTAGAGCAATTTGATGATTAAATGTGAAAGAAATAAATTTATTTAAAATTTAACCTTGATTTCTTGAAGTATTTGATAATATTTTAAAAATAATTATTTAATCTAATTAACAAATGATTAATTTTACTTACAAATTATTTGAAGAAAAACAGATATCTTCATTGAATGCAGAAGTAAAAACAAACAAAGGAAAAGTGTATTTTCATAATTAATTAATACATATATTTTATTTAAAATTCTTAATGAGTTTTATATTTTTTGAGTATGTATTGGTTATTTTATTTTTTCAAAGAAGATGGCTTTTTAGCTGAAATTCCTTTAAAAATAAAAATATTTTAGAGAAGAAAATAAGTTTAATGCAAAATTAAATAGCAATTTAATTTAAAATATTTTTTATTTAACTAAAAATTAGAATGATAAATTTTAATGATTTTTGACTCTCATTTACATATGAAATAATAATATTTTAAATTATAAATAAAATTTGCTTAAAAATAAATATTGCATTAAAATAAATTTTTGAAAACCTATTTAAATATTTATTTGATTCAACTTTTATTTAATAAATAATGAATTACATTGTAAATATTGGAATGGAATTCAAATATACTCTAAAAATCAGGAGCTGCTTATAAAATTTCAAGCAAATCAATTAACAGAGTAATCAGATAAGAATTAAAAATTCAAGATTAGATGATTTGCATAAATCTTAATCATAAATTATTGCAAGTGAGCTATTCAAAGATAAATTATATTTAAAAATATTTACTTAAATCTACTTTTTAAGTGCAAAATAAGGAAAATTATTTTATTTTAACAATAATTGATATCTTTTTTCTGCTTTTATTGAAAAATTATTGCATGTTAATGAGGAACAAATTCATCATAAATTTGGCTATTTTAAATACAGGAGTAAATAACATAAACACATATGGAATTATATTATATTGAATGAAAAATTTAAAAGCACAAGATGAATGACATTCATATTTGATTATAATATGTAAATGTGTGTCAAGTTCAATATTAACTTTTAATAATTGTTAATAAGATAAAGAAAAATATTGTGCGTTTATACAACAATAAAATTTAAAAGCAATCAAATTCACTTTATTTTTTATTGAATTATTTTTTTTGATTGGTGTTTAGCGTTTATTTGATTGTTTTGTTTCTTCGTTTGTTTGTGCTTGCCTTTATTTTGGGTATTATTCAAGTTAATAATATTAAATGTATTAATTACCAAAGGAAATAATTTAATTTTTATCTGAAATTTTAAATCAAGGAGAAGTTGAATAAAAATAGAGAGAAAAACACACAATTAAATCAAAACCCCAAAATATACCATTCGAAAACCAATAAAGGAAAATTAATAACTAGTCGCATTTTATTTTTGAAGAGTTATTTTCTCCAAAGGCAATAATTTTTTAATCCTCCATAAGCCAGCAAAAATTTTGTTATTTTGTGAGACTTGATAGTGTGATTATAGTATTGAATTAATATTTGATTTAATTCTAAACATATTAAATTCACAACCAACTATTTATTATACAGATATTAGATATTATTTTAAATATTTTTTATTCAAAGAAGACTTTAGGTGTTAGCCATTCGTATATTCATTCTTATTAATTCTTAGTTTTTTAAATTTCAGATTATTATTCAATTCAAAGAGAATTCTTGCTCAAGCAAAGAGTAGCGAAAAGATAATCAAACGCTAAAATAAATAAATTAGCAATATTAAAATTTACTTAAGTGAAAAAACCTTAAAAATAAATTTTTTTATCAAATTTTACTTTGCTGTCATTTTAATCTAATGTGTAATTAGGTATTTAGTTTGTTAAAAGTGACTATTTTTATGAAGAAGAAAATAGAATCATTCATTCATTTCCTTCTTAGCATAAATTAATTCAAAATGAATGAGTTAATTGTCTAAACAATAAATTTTATTTTTAAATAAAAATAAATTAATTTATTCTACCCCAACCAATAAACAAATAAACAGACAAACATGTATGTATATATGTATTAAAATTCAATTAATAGGTATATTTCTATATTTGAATTAAGAATTTACTCTCATTATAAAGAGTCATTATTAATCCCATTAGGTAATTATTGACAAAAGATTGTTTTTTTAAAAATTTATTACGCAAAATGATAAAATATTAAAATTTACTAACAAATATTTGTTCAAATTAAGAGTATTTTTGAAGAAAGAATTAAGATGGTTTTTTTGTTTGAAGTGATTAGTACTTTTTAACTAATTAATATAAAAAATTTCTTATATTTGATTGTAAAGAAAATACAAACGAATTAAAAGCAGAGTAAATGCAATCAACTAGAAAGGAGAGTAATTATAAGTGGTATTATTGAAATAAATGTAACGAAATAATTAATATTTAATTTAAATCATAAGAGCGAAATAAAATTCCCCCAATGATTTTGAATATTTGTATGTCGATCAGTCTGTTTATATATATTTATATTATTATTTGATTATAGTTTTTGATAATTATTTAGCAAATAGTTAGTGCGAGAGAATGAAGAGAAAGTGAAGCTGGCTGATTAAATTTCAAGTTAGTGAGTGCAATTAATTTGTATTTAATGTGTTAATTAATTGATTCACATTATTATTTTGATATTATTGAAGGGGTAGGCTTATTTATTTTCTTCGCTAGTTATTCTGCGAATAGTTAATTAAAGAAAATTTAAAAAAAGGAATTAATTCAAAGTTTATTTATATTTGTACGTATACACATACATACATACAAACAAACAAACATAGACAGATAATGTATATTTATATATTTATTATAAATCATCTTATTAAAGCAGTAACAAAAAAAATCAATTAATTATTAATTAATTAAATTGAAAAATAATACAAAAGTCAAAACAACTTAGAAAACGAAAAAAAAGCACTAAAATTAATAATCAATTAAATTAACAAATCTGCACCCTTTAATCAATCAATAATATCTTAAAATGAGCTCGAAAACCTCAACATTACGCAGGAACGTTTCAGCTCTTTCTTCATCTGCATAAGAAAGTTCTTCTTAGTATTTTGCCTCTTCTTCATCTCACTTAGATGCAGCCACAATTGAGTCACCCCAGCTTCTGAATTTTGAGGCATCTGTACCTTTAGATGATGTGACCACTATCAATGTAAAATCAAGTAGAATTTCTTCTAAGCAAAGGGGATATGAAAAGCCCAGAGTTGCTAACAACGATTATGAAGAGAGCGAGAATGCTTTTTACGAAAGCGATACCTCTAACTGGAGCTTGACTGGAAATAACAACAAAAAAACTACTAGCAAAAAATGCATCGACAGTAATTAGCATAAAAACTAGAAAAAAACTAAATAAATTTAAAAGAATAAAAAATCCTTACAAGAATCTTCAAAGTAATCAGAAAAAAAATATGGTAGAAACAAAAATATTAAATAAAATATACCAATTAGAAATTTTGTTGTGTAGGAAATATTTTAAAAACAACAACAACAAAGTCAAACTGTGCACATTTTGGGAGGATTAATTATGAGCTAAAATCAAAGTGTGGAAGAGATGAACAATAATATTTTCAATTCGCTTATAAATAATAAATAGCAAAATTGGAATTTCAATGAATAATTAAAAGCAAATTAAAAAGAATGTAATATTGGGAGTGATATTCAATGTACTTAGTATGAAAATAATGTGTTTAGTGATTAATTAATAATTAAATTAAAATACAAGAGTGAACCAACTTCTGAATTGCCAAGCAATCTCAATATATCTAATTAATAAAAGTAATACTTAATTAATTTCATCACCCAATAAAAGATAAGCAGAGAAAGTATTAACAACCTTTTATCGGAAGAATCATCAACTAATTCTGCTCTTCCTTTGATCATTTCCCAAAGAGAGTCTATCCAAAATGAGTAAATCACTAACTTTATCAACAAGAATATCGACGAGTCCTCCTTCTATTCCTTCCATGTTTTTTCTTCTGATTTCAACCACAAAGAAGTCAACCTCAACAAAATTGGATTTTCATATAAACTTTTGGCATTGATGAATTTTAACTACTAAAGTTGTTCCCTTTTCTAATGCTAAGAGCTTTTGAACAGACTCTTCACTCTCGAATAATACGAATAACTCTAATTCTAGCACTTCCTCAGCAGCAATAACTAAAGCTTTACCTAGACATCGATTAACACATTTGACAGACTCCAATTAAAATGCATTATTTCCATTTAAAAGTTCGCTTTTGAGTATCCTGAGCACATCTCTTAGTATTTCAAAAATATCAATGAGAGAGTGTACTTTATCAGATATCACATTGATCATTCCCACATCTCAAACATTCTCAGCATGCGTGCTTAGAACTACAACATCCTTCAATTGTCTTCCCCTCAAACCACTAACTCTTATGCAACCATTTCCCAAAGTTTTATTTAAAAATATTACTCTGAGGAGTTAAAAATTTAATAAGAAATTGAGCTCATAAAATATGACGATGAAGCCTAAGAAAAAACTATCAATAACTATTTGAGTCAGCACCTGACTGAATCCTTTTAAAATTTGGCATCACAATCAAAGGCTCAAAAGCAAAGCTTCTCCTAACTACCATAAAACAACTGCAAGTCAGAGTATTAAGATTAGATTAATTTGTATTTGCAAAAAGGATAATCTTAGTAGATTTTAGACCAACTATGTGAAACTCGCAACTAATCCTGGAGCGTCAGCACCAAAGCATCTGAGTCCCAAGAAGAAATAATCAAGTAAAAGCAAGAGGAAGAAGACCAAAGAATCTTAAATGAAGAGTCAGAAGACGACGAAGACGATGATGATGAAGAGGACATAGACATCTTATTGCTCAAGATTCAACTCATACAAAAATTTTAGTAATAAATGAATATTCTCTAATAGCAATAACAACAACAACAACAATAATAACAAAACTTCTAATATCAAAAATAACAATAAAATAACTATTAATTTTCTTATGCTCAGCAATGTTAAAACTAAATGTAAATAGAATAAACCAATATTTCCTCATAAAAAGCCTGCTAAAATATTTACAACTAAAGTGCTATCAACTCAAGTGAATGTATTGACCATGAAATGTATCTTAATAAATATGCATTAAGTCAGCAAGATGATGACAGTGAATTTTCAAGTGTTAAAAAATATCCCAGCTTCATAGATTTTTGAAGTTTCTTCGAAGAAAAGCTAATCCTAAAATGAAAAAAACTAACAAGATATAATAATAACAATCATATAAATAAATAAATATTCAGTAACAAACTCTAAAAATAATTACCAATTAATAAATATATCAATCTATCAATAATCAAAATCTAGCCTAATAGTTTATTAATTTTTCTAAAACATATTAAAAGAAATGCAATAATTACTTACCATTAATTAATTTCAATTATTTATATACCTATCTATCTTATCCAATAATTACTTCAAAATATATTATAAAATTAATAAATAAATAATCTTTGCAATATTTGTTTGTTTGTATTTATTTCTATTTTTCTTATGCCTGCCTATAAACCAATTATATTTAAAATTACAGCAACATTAAACTTAAATTTTCATATATTTTCAATTTATTACTCTTCATAAGTTTTTCACTTTTTTTAGTATCCTGCTTTTATTTTTTTATTACTTGATTGATCATATTAGATTTTTTGAATGTTTTTTTGTTTGTTTGGATCTTCAAATATTGCAAATCTAATTATTTAATAAGGAAATATTTAAATATACTGCCAAATCAAAAATTATCTTTTGTCTACGCATTATGTTGAATTAATCTTAATACAGAAAAAAGAAAGAAAATTGAAGGAAGAAAAATATAGTGCAGTAATAAATATGAATGTTATATTAATTAGTTATATGAAAATTATAGGCAAATTTATTTAATTTTCATGTAATATTTGGTCTATTCATTAAATGAAAAACAAAGAGATAAAAATCAATTGATCTATGCATGGATCTATTATTTGATAAATTTACCCAGTTAACTAGATTTCAAATTATCAAAACACAATAACAATTTTGAAGCATTGAATAAAATTAGAGGAGACGCAAAAAATCTAATAATTACTTAGAGTTTGAAGTATAAAAAGGAAGTTTCGAGAAACAAATAAGTAGACCTGATTAAATATAATAATAATTATCCAAAAAACATCTGTTAACGAGTTACAACTAATTTTTCTTAATTCAAAGTATTTCTTATTCGTAGCTTATACCTACCCCCATTTTCGCATTCATTAAACTGTTTCTATAATTTTCTTAAATTTAAATTTTTTATATTTTGGCATACTCATTTCTCAGCTTTAACTAATTAATTGCTCTCTCACTATCACTTTGATACTTAATACTACTTTTCTCTAGCAAAATCTTAGCATTTGTAAATGGTCCCTATCCTTCAAAGCTAAATATCAACAGATCTTCATGAGGCGAGATTGTAATTATAAGCAAGTGAATATTATCTTTGTATTTGTTTAAACTCAAACAAACATCCATAAATATTATTAAAAAGAAAGAAGGAAGGAATTAATAACTATTTAATTATTAAAAGGCTTCTTAACAATTTTTTATTTTCTTATCTATTCTTGAAATGAATAGTTTTTAGAAGATATTTTCAATCCTTGTAAAGCTACATTGTTTCTTTTTATACCCTAAACTTTTTATAAAAATTGGTTAAAGATAGTCTACATTTATATTTGATAGAATTGATCTGACTTACTTATAATTAAAGTATCATCTGTAACAATTTTTTTAAAACAAGGGCTTCTAAAAAGATCTCGAAAAGTAGAATATAATTTGAAAATTAGAATAATAATCAATAGACCAGACAATACAACTAATTAAATACTAATAATTATTCTTATCTAATTAAAATTGTACATGTAAAATTTTACTCTTAACAAATTACATTTATATTATCACTTTTCAAAAGTACTAGAGCATTTTTGTCTCTGCTAAAATACTTATTATTTATCTTCATACATAAAATACTTTATGAAAGTATTCTTTTTGTTAGAATTGTTATATATTTTAACATTTGCTAAGGATTATTTTTGTCAACAAGTTATATTTATTTAGTAGTATCAAATTCCAATGATAAAATTTATGGTTGATATTAAAAAGTAAGTCAAACAAAAAAACAAGTAATCTTAAAATTTATTTTAATTCTTTAAAAAAATAGAAGATAAAAATACATTTTAATTTAAAACTAAAGCTAAAAATAGCGAGTTTTTAAAAATTAAATATATTATATTTCAATAAAATAGGTATTTTTCTATCAAAACTATTTGTCATATTATAGTTTAAACAGATTTCTATTTCTCATAAAAAAATTTGATAAAATTGATATGTAAAGAAGCAAGTTATTATTCTAAAAGCGCTTACTTAAATTATTCTTTTATAAAAATATTTTTATAATGAATCTTGCTTTTAATAAATAACAGTTTTAAATGAGTATTCTTTCAAATCATTTTCGATTAATTTTTTAAAGCATATTTTACAATAATGAAATATATTTTAGATAATAAAATAAGCAAATTTATTTCCAAAATCTACAAAATACATGCTAATTTATATATATTTTATTATTTATGTTAAAAATTATTCATTAAAATTATTTCTTTTTAAATTATTTTTTTTAAATATAAATATTTTTTGCATTAAAAAAATGGCTTTATCATTATTCATATTTACAAGAAAACAACACATTTGATGATTATTAATATTAAACTTATATTATTTATTGGATAAATTCAAATGTATGATAAATTTATTTACTTTTTAACTTTAATGAATATCTTTTATTTGAATTCGAAATTTTAAACAATAACATAAGATTCTTTTAATTTAATTTATGCTTTATTGTCTTCAAATTTTTATTCAAAAAATATTTTTTTAAAATATAAAAATTTGAAATAACTTGAAGGATATTTTTGGTTTTTAACAAAATTTAATTTTTAAAAAAATAATTTTATATTTTTAAAATTCAAATAAAAGATTAAATTAATATAAGCTTAACAAGTGTTTTACAAGTATTATTCACACACACACGATGACTCTAATTATTCCTATTTTTCTTTTTTATATTAAAATGAAAATAAGATATTATTTAATAAAATTTGCTTTGATGTAAAAATTTAATTTAAAAAAAATAATTTTATATTTTTAAATTCCAATAATAGCATAAATTAATATAAGCTTAACAAGTGTTTTGCAAATATTATTCACATGCACACACTGATTCTACTAATTATTTCTAATTTTCTTTATATTTAAATGAAAATAAGATATTATTTAATCATCTTTGCATTGATTTTATTTTGTGTTCGCTATTGTTTTATTAATTAAAAATTAAAATTTTCATTCACTTTTACAAGCGTTTTTAAATGAGCTTTGAAGAGAAGGGCTTTCTTTTTTATATATCTTTTTGAATAAATAACAAAAAATAATTAAGAAAGTATTAATTAATTTTCATTTATTTAGTTGGTTAGTTGGTTTAAATAATAAAAAATTTTAAGCATTAAAAATGGACATTTATGGATAATAAGGATCTATGAAATAAGGAAAGCAAGCGAATTTGATTAAATTGCAACGCGAAGTTTTAGAAAATGTTTTGAAGGTATCAAAGAGAGAAGAAGAAAGCGATGGATGCGTTTGGAAGGTTTTGATTTTTGATACTCATTGCTAGAATATTTTGTCAACTCTTCTGAAGGTTGGCCACTTAAGAGAAATGAACATCACATTGCATTTAAATATCAATTAAAAAGGAGAAAAAAGAGATCGTTTACACGGTGTTAAGGCATACTATTTAGTATAGCCTACTTAGGAGAATATTAAAGCAATTATGGAGGATTTTAATAAAGATCTTTACGATTAAGTTTACATTAATTTTTCATCTCCAGCTGATGAAGAATTGCTTTAGAGTCTTGCAGTTCATGTTGGAAATTTAAATGCAGTTTATAAGATAAAGAGAGTTGTTCAATACACAATAGATTTTGTCACCCTTTCCAGGGACTTCTTCTCTTTAAACATCAAGGAAAGCTACAAGAGTTTGAGAGCTGCAGGAACTAGAACTGCTGCATAAGTTATTAGCTAAGCGGCTATGGGTTTATTCAGTCTTTTTAGAACCATGAAAAAGACTCCTTACATTATTTACTCAGATGATAAAAATAATGTCTTGCTCGCTTAGGAATTGTATTCGTTGTTTGAGAATTTGTATAAAAATTCTAAAGAATATGAAGACGAATCCACCGATTTTCTTCAGCCTTAATTTACTTAACCAATTCTTATTTTGGTTGATAGAGATGTTGATTTAGGCTCTATGCTTCTTCATCCTTGGCACTATGGAGCTCTCATTCATGATGTTTATCACATTGAAAACAATAAAGTCAAATTAAACAAACCAGACTCAAAAGAAGTGCAAAACTTTGATCTTGATAGCTAAAATGAAGACTCTTATTGGTTGGACAAAATGAACATTCCCTTCCCTGAAGTTGCAAAAGATATAGTTGAACGTTTGCAGAAATGGGACATTGAATACAAACAAATAACATCAATTAAGGAAGATACTTCTAAAATGGTTGCAGCAATGAGTAATATAAATGAAATGAAAGATTAAAGACGTCTCATTGAAATGCACATGTCTATTTCCGCAGGTTTAAAATCAGAGCTTTCAACACGTCATCTTGATAAATATTTCGAAGCAGGTTCAACAATTATCAGAGAAAAGCAACTTAAAGGATAGGAAAAAAGTGAATTAATTGAAATGTTCTAACAATGTTCAATTGGTGCAGGAAAGCCTAATTTTGATTTAGATAAATTACGTGTTTTGATTATATACTTGCTTTTTGTTTAAGATATTGACATCAACGATTTTAAGCAGTTGGAAGAAGCAGCTGGAATAACCAATAAAAAGTACATTTAAATCCTTGAGCAATTTAAGCAAAAGAGAATCCCAGAAACCACAACTTCTACCGCTGCTTCCTCAGACACTAACTTAAACAGCGAAGAAATAGCAGATAAACTAACAAGTATTTTTGGTAAATTTGCAAGCAGAGTAAAATCACAAGGAAAAGGTTTGATTAACAACGTTAAAAACAACCTTATTGGAATAGAATAAGACTTTGAAATTGCCACACAAGTTAAAAGCATCATAGAATCCAAATGTATGAATTCTGAAAAGTTAGGTTACAAATTCATAGACATTCTGAATAACCAAAACACTCTCACATAGCCAAAAATCTTCTCAGATGTTGTAGTCTTTTCACTCGGTGGAGGAAACTACAATGAATATTAAAATATTCAAGAAATTGGAAAAAAACTCAATAAAAACATTATGTACGGAGGTTCCGAAATCCTCAACGCAGAGACATTCATATAGCAACTAACTTCCTGATTTAAATAAGATATTAGAATCTAATAAAAATAATATTTCATCTTTCATTACATATTTTATATTTCATTATTACTCAAACTCTAACATTCTCATTAAATCATTATAGACATGTAATTTTATATAAAACATAATAAAATCCATCTTTAGAATTCTACAAATTTTATTATTTTTTATAGAACTTCAAAAGCTATTTTCAAAAAAATATTAAAATAAACAAAAAAATTTTGGAATTATTATTTTTATTCATTCATTTTTTATGATTTTATGATGACTAAAAAAATTAAAAAATTAAAGATTTTTTCAATCATTTTAAAAGTTTAAAACTTGCCAGAAAATTTAAAACATATTCAATCAGGATTAAATTAAATATTTAGCTGTTTAGTATTGCTTTTATTAATGATTTTCTAACTTTCTTCATAGAGAAAGGTTAATAATTAAAACTTTAAATTATATTAATATATTGATTGTTCATATACCATTGTTTTAAATGTTTAATATTTTAAAATTTTAATGCAATAATCTACTGATTTAGCTTCATTGAGAATAAATATCAAATTGCTAAAAAATCATTGTTTTAAATGTTTAATTTTTTAAAATATTAGTGCAATAATCTACTGATTTAGCTTCTATTGAGAATAAATATCAAATTGCTAAAATATTTACTTCATAATTCTAATTTATTAAATTTTTTTAAAAAAATTTATGAATTAATTGAGATATTTTTCATAATCAATTTAAAAATCAGACATTTTATTCTCAATTTGTTTAAGTCATTCATTTTATTGAAATACATTATGAATGTTTATTGGTTTTATTTTTTTGACTGCTTTATTAACAAAGTTATTATTATAATGAATCTAAAAGAAAGGATAATTTTAGTTTGATTAATATTGCTGGCTATCAAAATATTAAATTCGTTTTGCATGCTTTCATGTGCTTTCAAATTAAAAAGTAGAAGTGTCGATTTAATAATATCCTAAATTTTTGTATCAAAAATCTTTAAAAAATTAAAAGAGTTAAAAATAAATGAACTAAGAAACATAATAGAAAATGGAAGTATCAGATAAAGTAGAAAAGGAGAATTCTATAGGAGATGAACATGAAGATGAAAACCAAGATTTAGTAGAAGATTTATTATTTGGAGATATAGAATTTGAGAGTAAAGAATTCAAAATAGAGAGATTATCTCATAGCTAAAAAAAATTATAATAATATCATTAGCATTTGCAAAAACATACTGATAAGGAATTTTTAAAGGATAAATGGAATCAAAGAAAGAAAAGAGTTAATAAGCGTTTAGATGGATTGTCAAATGATGAAAAATTCTAAGAAAGATGCAAACGTAAAGAAGAAATCGAATAAGAAAGATTAAATATGATCAAAGGCTACGAAAGTGGTATTCCATTGATTATTGATAACTCTTTTGAGTAGTATATGACATTTAGAGAAATACGTTCTTTGGCCATACAAATTTCATAAACAGTTTTTGCTTAGAGAAAAAATAAAAATCCCTTTTAGGTGAATGTCTGCAACGCTTCTTAATAATTGAAGGATTGCATGAACACACAAATTTTCAAAAAGTTGCCTTTTAATGTATATGAACAAGATATTTTAGAAATTGAAAGGTTTAAAGGAAAAGAAGCAAATATGATTTATTTATCACCTGATAGCGAAAATGAGCTAGAAACTGTCGATCCTAGTGGGAATACAATTTATATAGTAGGAGGTTTAATAGATAGGACAGTTAAGAAATGGGCTAGTTATGATAGAGCAAATTCTATGAATATCAAATCAGCTAAATTGCCTATTAATTAATACTTAAGTGATCTTACTAGGAGAGCCTTAAATATAGACACTGTGACAGTCATGATGGGATTAGCAATACATCTTAATTTTGATTGGAAGACTACCACTTTGACTGTTTTAGGAAATAGAAAAATTAATGAAGACCTTAAAGAAGAACAAAAGCAAGTAGTTTTAGAAGGAGTTGAAAAGCTTGGCAGTTCTAAACTTGATAAAAGTTCACATCTCATTGATATATAAAGATCTATTGAATCAAGGCTAAAAAAATAAAA